TTCTGGTTCTGGTTCTTGTTCTGGTTCTGGTTCTGCTTCTGGTTCTGGTTCTTGTTCTGGTTCTGCTTCTGGTTCTCAGGGATGCTCATGGCCAGACTGAACATGCGATTTACCTTGTACCTGTAAATGGGGTCACACACATGTTTGTTACAAACTGAAGGTCGTGTCACAGCAACGACCATAAACCGTAAACATGGACGACATGTCAGCCTCAGAAAGTGATACTGAAGCTCTTGATCGCCCCCTGGGGGCTGGCTGCTCATTAGCATAATCAGAATAATATTCAGAATGAGGTTAATTCAGATTATTATTGTTCATGTAAACATCATCAGTTCAGGATTCAGAAGTTGACTCACTCTCTCAAGATGCCTTTTACCAACAATGTGAGTTGGTTCTGATCCACATCAGCAAAACTGTGTTCAGTCCACACGAGGAAGAACAGGAGCACGACCAGGATCCGGCACCAGGCGGCCATCTGAACACAGATCAGGTTTATATCTGAACACAGATCAGGTTTATTAACACGATATCTGAACTCAGATCAGGTTTATTAACACGATATGAACTCAGATCAGGTTTATTAACACGATATCTGAACTCAGATCAGTTTTTACTTCATCTGCATTTGTTTGGACTTTTTTCAACATCTTTTGTTGATTTCAAATTAAATTCTGGTTCATTCATGGATCTTGATGAAAATAATTCTCTTCAGGAAACTGATCTTTAGAAGAACTGATATTAGATCAGATCCGAATGTGTTTTCATGAGGAGACAGTTTAATCTCACAAAACAAACCGAATCGTAGTTCGACTGCTCTATCGATGTTTCTTTTAATAAAGACAGTGAATTATGGAGGTCAATACTATTATACATACGTAGTACATACAGTTTGTATGTACTACGTATGTATGGAACTGGAATAGTACAATGGTTTCTCCACATCTGAGTAAGATGGATGATTCACCCATTCACCCGTTAACATGAATGGGTGGGGGGGGGGTCTTCAGACGTGTGACGTTAATGTCGGCCGACATGAAAACTTACTTTACACAATAAACACGGAAAAAACTGTATTTCATCTGATACGTTTCATCTTAATTTAAGTTTTCTATATTTGGTTCTTTTTATTTAGTTAGTTTTCAATAAAGTTTGTTAAACTGTAAAAACAAATAAGTTCAAAAATCAAACCTCAGTTATATACGCATCCGTCAGGGCTGTACAGAATAAATAAGGACAGTAAATAAGAATAGATTTTATTAAATAATCGTAGCTTTGGCTGCTCTTTGCTTCCGTACATCATACATGGCTTTCGAAAAAAAACATTTGTGAAAATGTCCCTTTTACAATTTGTCTGATAAGAGACGACATTAGACAAAAAGAGACATGTTGCCCTCCAGAGTGAAATGACCTGAAGTCTATTTACCTCCTCGTTGGAGAAGTTGTCAGACGTCGCTGTTGAGGTTTCTTCAGATGGACGGAGTCAGTGAATCTCGTCAGAGGGACAGAAGACTTTTATACTCGACCAGGAGTCGGGTGTTGTGACCTTATTTGAACATATTCCTCAGAACAAGGAAGACGATAGAAAACATTTTGCAGTTTGAAATAAGGAAGTTAAGATACCATGGGAGGTCTTTTCTTGTCTGTCACATTTCTCTTGTTTTGCGTTGTCACTTCATGAAGGTGCGGACGAGTTCAGATACAAGTATTTCCAAGAACAGCTGGAGCCTGAGGGGCCTCGTCAGATTATTGAATCAATCAGAAGAATAAACCCTCGAGCTGAGATCCACAGGTAGTTTTTCTGAATTGCTAAAACACTAATTCCTGCTCAGTTGTCTAAACTCAGTCACTGAATTGAGCATCATTTTGACAAAACCATAAACTATCCTCACAGAGTAAAACGCTATCTGCAGATCTCAGTCCTTCCTTTTGCAAAACTCTAAACACACTCTCGTGCAATAAAACACAGTTGTCACTGTGATGCACTTGTGACGCATAACGGTAAAAACCAGCGGCAAAATATGAGCGTTGTAGGACGAAGGCTCACAGGAGACTGAAAGACCCCCATCACCCCAGCAACAAGCTCCTCTCTCTGCTGCCGTCTGGCAGACGGTACCGCAGCGTCCGGACCAAGACCTCGAGACTCAGGGACAGTTTCATCCCACAGGCTGTAAGACTGCTGAGCTCCTGAGCTCTGTGGAAGTCACTACATCCGTTTAAAACAACTTATTTCAACATTATAATATTCATTAGCAATAATTGATATTTATTTATTTAGTTTACAATAATTCTCATTCTGTCACCGCGTTTCTATTCATCATATTTACCTACCAATATAAAAATATAAAGAGTGCAATAATTCATATCTGTCCATTCCTCCCCATAACTGCTGCTAAACTAAGTCTGACATGTATATATCTCATTTAGCACCTTTTAATGTTTTATTACTTTATTATAATGTTTATTTTGTTCTTTTGCAACTTATAACGCTTACTTAATTTTTTTTTGCACTAGTACTGACATTTGTACTTATTGTTTCATTGCACTAGTGTATGTTATTGTATTTTTACTTACTCTTATCTTATTTTATGACACTTGCATGTCCAGTTGCTTGAGGTGCCTGAGATTTAAGATTTTCATCTCCAACATTTATTTGTTGTGCAGATGACGATAAAAACCTTTGAACAAGTGAAACACGTGTCGTCCACTGAACACAACGATTCAAACTTGATCCCACTTGTTTCTCTTCATGTCGTGAAAACATGAAAACCAATGTCAGTTCAGAGTGCAGCAGGTTGGTCCTGCAGGCTCACGACAACAATGGATCTGAGACACAGAGGACGAGTGTGTGTAAGAGGAGGTAGAGGCGGAGGACAAGAAGGAGGCAGAGGAAGAGGAGGAAGACGAAGAGAGGCAATTTCTGATGACATTCGGGCTACTGCCATTTAACCTATACGTGCCACCGTACTCTCCCTTCCTCGATGCAACAGAGGAGATGGAAGGTGTACGAGCGACAGCCCTGCTCCAGGCYGACTGTAATCTTCTCGAGTCCATGGAACGAGCCTGTGATGAGGCTGGTGAGGAGAAGTGTCAGGGCTGGGTACGGAGCACGAGGGTTTTTTCCCCCGTTGCCTGGAAATATAACGTGTGATGTGGATGAAGAGCTGTGGCCTGACCCAGCCCAAAGACAGGATGACGCTCAACGAAGCTCAATGATCAACTGTGTAAAGTTCTTTATTGTGACCAATGAACATTTCTCCATGAGCAACAGGCCTCGATCACTGTTTTCTGTTTTTTCTGGTGAAGTGTTTGATGACAGCTCTGCAGTTTTTCTGTTTTGACCGACTCGTCTGACAACATTGTTCAGGTTTGAGCACATGTGAAACTGTTCTGAGGCGATGGTGTGAGAATCAGAGGTTTGGTGAGAGTAGTTTGAGAAAAGAGTTTTGTGTTTAGAATTCTGAGAAAAGGAGGATTCAAAAAAAATGTGTTTTAACAATTGTGAAAACCTGTAATTGACTGATAGAAGGAACCAAGAAAATCGAATGTTCTTTTTATGATGAAATCAGTTTCAGGTCAAACAAACAATTGTTGTTGTGAAACCAGTTTTGGACCAAGTTCAAAATCTGAAACGTGGAGGATTTTGTTGCTGTCGTGACCTGAGCGTTCAAACCTTCCTCTTTCTTGTTAATCTCCATCGTGGATCTGCACGTCAGAGTGAGACGACAGTTTCCACACGAGGACCGATGAGCAGACTGAAGATGGAGATTAAGAAAAGGAGAAGAACGAGCAGAGACGTGTTCACAGCACAAACACGCACTTTGACTTTTTCTGGTTCAAACATGAGCAGTGGAAGAAAGACGATATTTAAGAACATTAAAAATGCTGAGATTCCAGCTGTGAACGGAGCTGCGTGTTTATACTTTCCAAAAGTCTACGTCGGAGCTGGATGCTCCTTCCAGGTTTGTTTATTGTTACATCGCCGTTCAGTTAGTTTGCCCACGCCGCAACGCTGTGAACTCTGGGTAATTCCCTTTTGCTAAAGACTTACGGAAACCGTGCATCAAGTCTGCGAGTCCAGACGCACTTTATGATTTCACAGGACGAACCTGAGGCCTCACTGACGCACGAGCTCTTCAGGGTGGACGTTGGAACTGAGCTCAGAACAACCAGGATACAAGGGCAGGAGTCAGAGTCAGCTGTCAATCAGGAGTCAGAGTCAGCTGTCAATCAGGAGTCAGAGTCAGCTGTCAATCAGGAGTCAGAGTCAGCTGTCAATCAGGAGTCAGCTGTCAATCAGGAGTCAGAGTCAGCTGTCAGTCACGTCTCAGCCTGTTTCTAAATCATCAAATAACTGATTCAAACCAAACTGATCGGAAACTTGAACAAACTTTTGAACAGAAACATTTATTTAACGTCTACTCTGAGTTTTAGTCTGGTCCAGGTCCCATCCGCTAACATGGAGGAGGTTTATGAGCTACACTGCAGCCAGAAACCAGGGGGCAGCTGTCATGTCGCCCATCTTTATACATTTATCCATTTTTATCTAAATTGATCTATTTATATTTAACGACTGTAATGAAAAGGTGATAAATTCCTCCTCGGTTAGCTACACAGCTAACATGCTAATGCTGAAGGAAGTAGACATGTCATCGTCATGTGATCATGTTAGAACGTTAATGTCGTTAAACTCAAACACAGGAAAGGTTCATTTGTTTGCTTCTCAAAAATCTGTTTCAAAAGCTTCAGGAGTCGACGTCACGTCAAAGAGAAAAAGAAAAGTTCCTTACTCAGGTTTCATGATCGTTCCTCTTCCTGTTCGTCTCCGCTGCAGAAACGAACCTGAAAGAATCAACTTCAACAGCGGAAAGAAAAACCCTCACAGCTCCAGACGAGTTTCAGGTCACAGTTCTTCTTATTAAAACGGTTTTATTAATTTATTCTCTATTAAAATAAAATCAGGAGAATCAGAACACAGCAGAAGAAGCCAAAAGAAACAATAGATTATGGAATGTACTTCAGTAAAGAAAATAAAAGCTCCAGCTGGTCCAACATGGCGGCTTTATTTCAACCACAGTCAAATAAAGCACCGCTTTTATATACTCATATATATATAAAGATATTTATATATATATTTATATAGTTTTCATATACACCTTCAGGCAATGACTAGAGAGGATTCTTTACAGAATCAAGTTTCTTGTGGTTCTCTTAATTTACAGGTAAACTTAATTTCTGGATAATTAAACCACAGAAAAATCAAGGCAACATTTTCTTTTGCCTCGTTCATAAAGTACAAAACTGGCACAGAGGACGACCATTTTCATACACAGTAAAAATGCAATAAAATTAAATTACAAACAGAGGAGACAAAAGTCCTGTAAACCTTTCCCCGTTACAGCAAACCTCAAATAAAATCACTTTTCAAAACAAATTCAAATCAGTATAAAACACACACACACACACACACACGCGCTCGCACACACACACACACACAAACAAAACAACCAACAGAACAAAAACTTTTTTTGCCCTTTGAAATCAATGTGCTGTAGCTTGAACGACTTTCTTCTTTTTGTCAAACGAGGGCTCGGCTGCGGAGTCGGACATTAGCGGAGCGAGATGAGAAGGGGAGGAGCCACTGAAAGCTGGAAAAACCCACCGACTGAACATCAGCTGAAGGCGACGAACAGCAGCACACAAACAGCAGAAGAAGAAGAAGAAGAAGAAGAAGAGGAGGAGGAGGAAACAGGAAAATGTTTTTTCTCCCTCGGAGCTGAATTCAAATTTTTTTAAAAGAGAGAGAAAAAAAAAAGTTTTCGTTCAAGATCTCATGGCGGCTGTGAGTTGATGATGTCATGAAGAGGGCGGGTCCTTTACGGACAGTTTGGTAACTATGGCGATAGTGGCTTCCACTGTCCTGTACAGCATGTCCAGCATGTCAGGTGGGGGGCCGGCGCTTGGAAACACCTGGGGGGCGTGAGCACTGCAGCCCTCTGACCCCTCCCCCACCAACCCAAGGGCAGATGGGAAGGCGGCGTCCTCTGAGAGAGGCGGGGCCGAGCTGCTGCTGGTCTTGGCGGCCATCTCCTTCTCCTCCTTCACTTCCTCTGAGGAGCCAGACATCATCGCCTCACCCTGCCCCTCCTCCCGCTGCCCCTCCCCCGTCGCCACGCATCGCGGCGGCTCAGGTTCTTCTCCCTGAACAAACGCCTCCTGCAGCAGGGAGGAGGAGGAGGAGAACGAGGAGGAGGACGACGATGAAGAAGCCTCCATCTTCTCCTCCTTGGGGGAGGAGTCCAGGTTTCCAGAGGAGGGGGCAGGGTCGGGGGAGGGCGGGTCCTGTTCAGTACCCGGGTCGATCAGTGAGGAGGAGTCTCGGGTCTCTGTGTCTGAGGTGCTGGTGGGCGTCAGCGCCTCCTGGTGGTCGGGCTTCAGCTCACTGCAGGGCGGGAGAATAGAGGAAGAGGAGGTGGAGGCCACACAGAGCGGCGCCGCTGTGTCACCGGCTCGGTCGTCATCACTGCTCACCCTCCGCCGCTTCACCGGGGTCGCTCCTTCCTCCTCAGCTGACAGAGAGAGAGAGAGAGAGAGAGAGAGAGAGAGAGAGAGAGAAAGAGAGAGAGAAGCTGTTAATCCTCATTTCTGAGAATTTCAGTAACTAAAAACTATTTTTTTGTTTTCTCATAGTCACATAAGAATAGAAACTTTTCACCAACCAGGAAACAAACGCTCTGTGTGTGTGTGTGTGTGTGTGTGTGTGTGTGTGTGTGTGTGTGTTGTACCTTTGGCCTTGTGGTCCTTGGCCTCCAGCTCCAGAACGCTGCGCTGCTGAACGCAAACACGACAGCGGCCCAGCAGCTCCTGCAGGGCGGGGCAGAGGGCGGGGTCAATGACCTGAGGCGGCTGGACGGACAGCAGCAGCACCAACGCCCTCAGGTCCTAACGGAGCAGAGAGAAAAAAGAAGAAGGAGAGGTTTGTGAGTGTGTGAGTGTGTGTGTGTGTGTGTGTGTGTGTGTGTGTGTGTGTGTGTTCGTACAGCGTTGAGCAGGCCGCTCGTCTTGCTGAGCTCCAGGCGGTGAGCGGCGAGCTCGGGCTGCAGGCTGCTCTGTTCACTCAGGAGGTTCGTCACCAAAACACTGATGAGGTTGGAGCAGCTGGGAGCAGACAGGACCTGGACCTGCACACAAACAACCCAGTGATTAACGATCACACGAAAACTAATGAAACGTTTCCTAGTGACAGAAACAAACGATTTGATCAGAGACTCAACGATTTCACGGCAAAAACACATCTTCTCCATATATTCGGATCAAACCCTGATGAAAGAGAAATGTAATCGAGGTTTGATATTTTACAGCTCAACCATAAATAACAAAACAAAATAAAAAAACACGTCCAACCAAACATTTAGAACGTGAAGAGATTGAAGTACAATTTAAAAGTCTTGGTTCATGAATGCTGCCGCTGTTTCGTCTGTGAAAGACGATAAACCAGTCGCTCCGATTCTGATCTGTAGAAAAACTGTAAAGAAAAGAAATGACAAAAGCTCAGAAAAACAAACGGTGACGACAGTCGTACCTTGTGCAGGAAGTAGGTGAGGAAGGAGTACGCCACGTTGTTGTTGAGAAACATCCTCTCGTCCATCAGGATGCACTTGATGTACTCGCTGAACGCCGGATCGTCACACAGCAGCTTCACACACGTTTTGGCCAAAACAGACTGAAGAGACAACGACCGAGTCACTGACAACACGAGCGCAGCGTCTTCACTCGACCGGACGATGGATGAAAACAGAGCAGGGTCATTTACCTGTGACTGGCAGAGCTCCGTCCACAGCTTGGGGAAGAGAGCGAGGTGAAGAGGAAGTCCCTCGTACGCTATTAACACACCTGAAACACATTTCATAAAACAGATTTAAAAGATGTAAAAGAACAAAAGGATAAAATCTGAATTTAAATCAATAGATAAGTTGAAGAAATAAAATAAATAAAATAGACAGTGTAAAATAATAAAACAGGGACAGAGTAGAATGGAATGATGAGGTGGCTGCTCTGTTTGTTCACCGGCATCAAACTGTTTCAGTCTACAGACGTTTTCTTTCTGTGAAAATGTGCTTCGTGACCTTTGACCTCCAAATTCTTATCAGTTCATCCTCGAGTCGAGAAAGAAGAAATTCCCTCGAGCTGTTCTTAAGATTTCAGACAACCTGAAAAAAAATGATGTCTCTGGCCACAAGGTGTCGCTGGTGCAAAGGAACAACACTGAATGAAGCAGGGAAACTTCTGAGAATGTTTGAGAACCAAGTTAAAAATATCTTTTAAATCCAGAGATTCACAAAATTTTTTTCATAAATTTGTGAATTTAATTTTATTCTTGTAAATTCGTTTTTTTGCTTTCATGTCAGAGAATCTCTCGTGTTTTAAAACTTAAGATTCAGATTTTCTCTCTCTGAATACGAAACATCTCCCAAAACCCTGTCGGAGATATTCATGAAACACGTTTGTTTTTCTGGTTTTATTTTATTTAGATTCGATCGTACGTACTGAGTTTGACGAGAGTGTCGGTGAATTTCTCGCAGTTGATGGCGACGCGACACAGGAGGTGGATGAACTGGTGGTAGGACAGGAAGTAATCCAGCAGCATCCGGTCGTACACCTCGTCTTTACCCTGAGAGACAGAGAGAGAGAGAGAGACAGAGAGAGAGAGAGACACAGACAGACACAGAGAGAGAGACACAGACAGACAGACAGACACAGAGAGAGAGAGACAGAGAGACACAGAGAGAGAGTGAGAGACAGAGAGAGAGTCAGAGTGAGAGACACAGACAGACAGACAGACACAGAGAGAGAGAGA